TTTAGCTCAGTGGCATAAGCACCTGCCTTGCAAGCAAGAAGTCGTGAGTTCAATCCCCGGTACCAATAAAAAGGAAAAAGACAAAAAAAAAAAAAAAAAAAAAATAGCACCCTTGTGGTTTATAATCTTATTATCTGTTTTGGGGGACTTTTAAAAAGAGGTCTTCAAAATGGGGAAAACAATCACACACAGTACACACTCATTCTGCCTCTCCTGGAGGCCACAGGCAGGTTTGTATTAAAAAGGAATGAAGTTTGTAAATCTTGCTAGAAGACATTGAATAGAATCAACCCTACAGTCCACCTGGTCCCATAACACAAGCCACTAGGAAGTCCTGGCCGAGGCAATGGCACATGCCTGTGATTCCAATACTAGAGGCTGAGGCAGAAGGATCACCATGAGTTCAAGACCAGCCTGAGCTACACAGTGAATATAATAGGCAATCTAAACTACAAAGTAAGACCCTGACTCAAAACAAACAGATTAAATTCTTGTGCCACTAAAACAACCCCCACCCTGTACACCATTTATTTCTCAAGGTGCCTTTTTGGAATGGCATCACCCTGTGACACATGGAAGTGACATCCTAAAGGGATGGGGCTGGCTCTGCTCTATCCATCAGTGCCCATTAGTGCCTGCTAGTAACCATGAGGCCATCCAGAGAATAACCTGGCTACATGTCCACCTATTCCACTTCAGGAGCTAGAAAGATCTGGGATTCACTGCAAAGATAAGATGAGGAGTAACCTGGGCAATGTCATTCGGAGGAGGAGCCAGACAAAAAAGCACCCCAGGATTTTAATTTCCGATTGTAGTACACAAAACACACACCACATCCCCTGGTCAAAGGGTCCTTGAGTCAGGGAGTGACCAGATAGAGGCACCTTCCAGGTGTAGAAACCTAAGAGTTTGAAAGGGAAAAACTAAGAGACAGGAATAAAATCACTGAACAGCTGTTAGAGTCTCCAAGCTGTGATCCTATCGGAGTAAAATGCAATTAAGAAGCACTTAGTCCCACATCTTGGTTAACCTTACATAACTTCTCCCTATGACATCACTAAGAAAAACTGCTTTTAATGGGCCCAGCACCTGGACAAGGGAGACAACCTTCTCAGGCTCTGACACTACACCTAAATAGCTTTCTTCGTGGAAATGCTGGCCTGAGCGGGAGCCAAAAATAAACTGCAAAGCCAATTCCTGAGGGATCTGTCATCAAGGGTGCTTCATACACAGCTTCACAAAAGCAGGATAGTCATAGGCAGCTTCAGTTTAGAAGCATTCAGCAGACCCTGAATGTTTCAGCAACTTAAAAGATGATGATGCCCATGAGGTAGAAAAACAAACAAAAAGAACAAACAGGCCACCATGGAAGGAAGAGGAACCTGCACTGACAGAAGGGACCTGCTGTGCCTCTCACAGAGCTGCTCTGTGCAGGGAAGGCAGGTGGAGACCAGGACGACCCACAGTGTCTAACCAGGCTCAGGAGGATGTAAGAAGCTGTCAGCATCTGGCTTCATTCCAGTTTAACTCAAAGGATGAGCAGCAATGGGGAAGGGCTGGCCTCTGAAGAGGAGCCCTGGATCATACGGGAAGAGTTTGAAGTGGACAAATATGGACTCTTTGGCTGCAGGGACCTGGATATTGGGAAGAAAAGCGACGCTCTAAGAGGAACTTGCTATTGGTTTTCTGATTCTTTTGGTGCTACTGGGGATTGAACCTTCACACTGAGCTATATCCCAGCCCTTTTTAAAATTTTATTTTTGAGACAGGGCCTTATTAAGCCACTAAGTTGTTCTATTGGACACAAACTTATGATCTTCCTGTCTCAGCCTCCCAGAATGCTGAGACTACAGGCACTCGTCATGCCCAGTTCACTTGCTTCTTTAAACACCTTCATGTCAGGGCCGTAACTCATACGTCTTACTACCAGTGGTATATGCATGACTGTACTATTGGGAAACTTTTTATTAATTTTATTAGTAAAAGATCGATAAAAGTAAATAGAGACATCTGTACCATGCAGTGCAAGCTACCCAATGAGACAGTCATGCAGGTACCACCAGTGTTCAAGCCAACGATGGGAGTGTATCAAGTCTTAGAATCTCAATCTTGGCTCTTGGGAGCTGCAAGGAGTATGACCATGAATTCCATAGCTTCATGAAAGAACAGCTTGATTTCTGTTGCACATTTTCATGAAGGTGGCAGGAAAGCTACTTGCCGCCCCATTTCTTCACCTCTCTTTGTAAATACGCTCACTAAAGATTAAGAAACTCGGTTCTCCTGGCTTTCTGCACAGTACCCGCCTTGCATCCTCCACCGTGTACTTTTATTTTGCTTTTCTTCTTTTACTTGACGCCCAAGCTCTTTCTGCAGAGCCAGTTTCTCACGTACTGTTTGTTTTTACTTTTTCAAATAAACTTTGCTACCATTTAAAAAAAAAAACTAAGAAACTAATACTAGGCCTTTATTCACTATCCTCCAATTTTATTTATTTATTTAAACAGTACTGAGGATTGAACTCATGATCGCGCGCTTGCAAGGCAGGCACTTATGCCGCTGAGCTAAATTCCCAGTCCCTATCCTCCAATTTAAAATGAAAACTATAAAAGATACTCCAGGCCTACCTAAGAAACATGCCATATTAAATGGACACTTTTTAAAAGATTCCCCAAAAAAAGGTAAAAAGATTCCAAAGCAAACCAACCAACAAACAAAAACCCATAAAAATGTTCCAATAGATAGCAGCTAGAAAGAAAAAAAAAATTGAATCTCAAAATTGTCACATTATTCTATCAAAAACCAGGTTCTCAGATCTCTTACCTAGATAGTGATGGGCAGGAATTAGAATCTACATGCTGTCTTGATTTAAAGGTCTCTACTTACAGCACACTATAACCTTGATGGAACATATAAGGAGCAGAGGTGACAGAGAAATCTACAACACCACAAGGTCTGAGCGTCCACACTACCACCTTTGTCATTGTCCAGGAGCAAAGTGGGGGACATTTAGCTGACCAGGAAGGGTCACATGTGCCTACAACTCATGGTAACAGACAGCTACCAGGTATTAAACACTCCCTTCCTGAAAAGCCCTAACCCATTCTCGGGTCCTTAAAAATTAGGTACTGCCACCCATAACTGGGTGCTACATACCATCACACACTTGGAATTTCTATGCCCCTGGACTTTTGCTATAGAAGCTGTAGAACTGTGGCAAAGAAAACATCACAACCAAAGCCATAGACTGGGTTCCAAAACGCTAGAAACAAGTATCAAAAGGGTAGCTTCAAAAATCCATCTAAGCTGATGCCTTAAAGCCATTTTCTACTTTACTCCAAAACAGGTATTTTTAAGTCAAACTTTGTATGAGTACACACAGTGGGGGGTGGAGTGGGGGGGGGGGCAGACAGAACATGACTGTAAACAAAGTTAACCACTAGAGTCATGATGAACAGGAACAACAACTGATAAACACATCAGCTTCCAGGGTGTGCTGGGCCTGCCTCCCTGAGTCTCAGGGCAGGAGGCCACTTCATGATCCAGGACACCAGAATCAAATGAGTAGCACTTCAAAACCCACAAGCCTCTAGATAAGAGCGGTGGTGAAAAAGATTTTTAAAAACTGAGAAATCCACCATCGGCTTAGTAAGCTGACATTTGTGTGTGAATATACAGTAATAATCTTCGCCCAATACAACAGGGGTGGTAATCTTTAACAAGCATTCTGCTGCAAAATGTAATATTTTCCAAATGAACTCACAATTTTCTTCAAGCAGTTCCTGGTTTTCATTTCATGGAGAAGTGGGGTCCTACGTGTGGATTTGTGGCTGGGGATGCATATACATCAGTAAGAAACACACCCAGCCCATCAGGGTCAGCAGTTACTCCTGCACTGCGAAAAGATCACAGTGGCTTGGGGGTAGGGGTCCTGCCCCAGTTTTAACAGGTCCCCTTTGTAGGGTGGCATGAAGCCCTAGTCCTCTGTCACCTCTGTCTCCCAGTGTGAGAAACCCAGATAACTTCTCAAGTGTCTTCCTTGAAATCAGATTCTACTTCCCAGGTACCTGAACCGCTGTAGGCCTGGTTTGTGCTTAGAAATGGTCTCCTGAAGGAGAAGGGCTGGTGGGGAAGAGGTGTCTTCGTGTGTGAATCACTGATAAGAATTCACACTAGGAAAACAAGTCACAGAACCAACCTTGGTGTTTCAGGCTTACAACGATAAAACCCCTCTTTCTGTGAAACTGCTATGTTCACCAGCCTCATCCCAACAGACCACGAAATCTGGTTTTTGCTTAACAGCCTCACTCTGGTCAAGAATAACCCTGCAGATTTCCAAATTGGTCAGTTCCTCTAGCCATGTTTCCCTCCCAGTCATAGCTGTCATCACCTTCCCCAGTACTATTAATCTATTAATATCGTGGCTCCAATTATTGATGATTTTTACTCACAAAATTGTCACAGCAATTAGAATGAGGTTACTAAGCAAAACAAAAATGGGTTGGGCTGCTTCACCATCACCCATTCTGCAATCTAGTGAACTTCTTGGTGTTTTTGATTTCTTCTTTCAAGTTGGCTGGGATGTTCACCTCTATCTTTGTTTTGGCATGCCCATCACTCTTCCCTCCTGCACGGACCAGGTACGGCCTTCCTTTCCGGATGCACAATGCAGCACCCAGATCCGGGGGTCAGTGAAACGCCGCACAGTGGCACTGGTGTAATGCCGAACGCGCCTCAGCGCTGGGGAGGTCCCCACGGGCGTCGGTCCGCGACTAGCATCCCGAGGCCATCTCTACAGCCTAGCAGAGCTTGCAAGTACCCTCCCCCTTAAACCGAGAAACCCAGGCCCGGTCCCAGGCCAGCGACTCCCGCTGGCGGGTGCGCCCGGGCTAGAGCAATGACTGTGCACGGAGCACCCTCTGCCGAGGCTGTGCTCTCACCGCGGCACTGCAGTGGCACCGCGGCGGGCACAGCCTGCCTCCCGCACTCCCGCCCGGCCGCACCTTGGTCTCCTTCACGTGCTGCTTGACGCCCTCGGGGTACCACTGGACGCGCACATAGCCGCGGCGCAACGGGCTGGCCCGGCCCTCCTCGTGGCCCGCGCCCCCGGCCTCCGAGCAGCCTGAGCTGCCGCGGCCCTCTTCTTCTCCCTCGGAGTCTGAGTCCTCGCCGTGGATTAGGCGCACCAGCCCGAAGTGCACCGAGCCGCGGTAGCGACCCGAAACCAGGTCGTGGGAGAAGAGCAGGCGCTGCGAGCCGGCTTCGGGGCCGGAGTCTGAGGACGGCACCGAGGCCGAGTCCGAGGCTGGCGCCGGCGTTGGCACTGAGGCCTGGGCTGGGGTCAGGGAGTGGGCTGCGGCCCGGGCTGAGGCGGCCTCTGGAGCTGGGGCCTGGGCGGGAGGGGGAGCGGGAGCCGCGGGCGCGGAGGCTGCGGGGTCCGCCATAACTGCTCTGCTGGAGTCTCGGGCGGCGGCGGCGGTGGTGGTGGTGGCGGCGGCGGCGGCAGACGAGGCGGGGAGGTGGGAGAGGCGGGGCCGACGGCGCGGGGGCAGGGCCGCGGCGTGGTGACGTAACCCTACGTACAGCCGTCGTCAGGGTACCGGGATGCGGTTGCTAGGAGCCGCCGCCTCGTCGCTAGGGGACGCTGGACATGCTGGGGCGGAGTGGGGGTGGGGAGGGGGGTGTGGGACGGGTCCCAGGGGATAACCGCGAAGTGATCGGCAAGGGGCGGGGATCTAAGGGGGAGGGAAGTGGAGTGGTCACCGAGGAAAAAGGGAGTGGCCATGGTGGGGTGGAAGATTGTCCATAGGCTATCAACAACTTTTAATAAAACACCATTGGTGCCCTGCCTGGTGCTAGGCACTATGAGTTAGGGAAGAAGAAATACCGTCTCTGCCCTATACGTGTTTTCAATCTAGTTGGGAAGACAAAACAAATATGTATTACATAACTAAAAAAAGCAACACCAAAGAAGCTTGTAAGCAAGGCTATAATAGATAGGTATAGAGCATACATAGAGTACATCATAACAGGAATTCCAAGCAAAGTAGGTACTTGATAGGTCAGTAAGTCATGACCCCTTAAGATTGACCAGGAAGGGGCTGGGATGTAGCTCAGCGGCATAAGCGCCTGCCTTACAAGCAGGCAGCAGGCAGTCGTGAGTTTGATCCCTGGTACCGATAAAAAACGAAAAAGACCAAAAAAAAGAAAAAGAAAAAGAAAAAACAAAGATTGACCAGGAGCAGATAAAGGAGGCCCAGAGAAATGTAAGAAAAGCAAGTATCCGTGGCTCCAGTGGTTTCCCTTTTTTTTTTTTTTTTTTTGTCCTTTCAGACAAGGTCTTGCTCTGTAGTTTAGGCTGGCTTTAAACTCACCATGTGGCCTAAATTGGCCACGAACTCTTGATGATCCTGCCTCAGGCTCCTGAGTGCTGGGATTATGAGCCTGGGTCACCACACCCAGCTTCCAGTGGTTTAGCTTTAAATCCATAGATGAGTTCAAAATTCTTCGAGGCCTCCTTTGCATGGAAAGAGGCAGAATATGAAGTGAAGAGAGGCAGGCTGGGCATGGTGGTGTATGCTTATATTTCAGCACTCTGGGAAGCTGTGGCAGGAGGACTCCGAGTTCAAGCACTGCCTGAGCAATTTTAATGACTTAACAAGACTGTCTCAAAAAAAAAAAAAAAAAAAAAAGAAGACTCTGTCTCAAAATGTTTAAAAAAGACTGAAAATGTAGCTCAGTGCAAAGGTCCTGAATTCAATCCCTAGTGGTAAAAAGAAAAAAGTAAGAGCTGTGGATTCTAGTTTTTGGCACTGCCACTTACTAATCTATAAAGGTAGGAGAGTAAATTTCTTTTCACCTCAATTTTCTCATCTGTAAAATAGGGTTGGAAATAACAGTACCTGTATCACTGGGTAGTTGGAAGGATTAGATAAAGTAGAACAGGGCCTGGAACATAGCTTCCTTAAAAAAGCTTAAGGATTATTATAACACTTCAACTAGTTAGACTAAATTTCTGACTGGCAGAACAAACAGAAAGTCCTAAGGTCTACTTTGTATTGCCATTTTAAAATACGAGTAGCGACTCTGCTAATTTAATGTGTCACTTAGTAGGTTCCAAAAGATTTAGATACTCTCTCAGAGGAAAGATCATAAAGGGTTATTCAAAAGAAATAAAAAATATTCAAGATCTGACTCTAACTTCCTCAGTTGAAATAATGTTTTTGTTTTTGTTTTGTTTTGTTTTTTTGAGACAGGGTCTTACTAGGTTGTGCAGCTGGCCTCGCACTCATTGTGACCCTCCTGCCTCAACCCTCCCGGGAGGGGGGGGGGGCTAGGATGAGGAAGTAGGAATGAAGGGGTAGGGCAGGCCTTGGATCTATGTTTAATGCCAAAAATCCAAAAACGCTCTACTCTGGCATATTCCTGTGCTGATTGTTTTAATACCAAAAAATGTTGTCCTTTTCTCCCTAATCTGAGTAAAACTGGCACTCCAGGAAGACAGGACATGTTTATTCTGAGGTTTCTTGTAATAATGGCTAATAATAGCTACCACTTATTGAACTGTAACTTCATGCTCAGTAGTACCATGCTAAGTGCTTTACGCAGAGTATCGGGAACCTGCCAGGTGGGAGGTGAGAGTCCTTGACTTCAAATGTTCTTCCTCCACTCCCTAAACTGCTGAGCTGTGGGTCGTGGTGTGTTTGTGTGTGTTATCCTGCCGCCTAGCAGTGTTGGAGCTCAATAATGATGGTGGCAGGGGCTGAAGATTTACATTGCTCTTCAATGCCCCCCCATTCCCCACCAAGTGAGCCCCAGTGGGGAGATGAGCGCTCTTGGGTGAGTTCCTGCCTGTGCACACTCCAGGCTCCTTCAATTGCTCCCACTTTGAGCTGTGTGTGAACCATTCTGGACCTCCCCCCGCACCTGCCTCTGCCACCTCATAGTGTCTTTGGTGGACAGCACTCAGATCTGAGATGCTCCAGCCGAGGCCTGGGTGGCTTGACTTCTTGCCAGACCCTGTGCCCCCAGCTATAGTCCTGTACTCCCAGCTGGCGAGTGGGGTAAGTAGCAGTAGACGCAGCTGCTTGGTTTTTATGTTCATCACTGTTGAGATACAGGAAGAAGAAAAAGTTCATTCCATAATGAACAAACTCCTCTTCTCATGGCCCCAACACCAAACTCACACAGGAGAGGTTTTACTTATTTACAAATGTGCCTGCCAGACATGCAGCCACTTCTGCCTTTCTGCTTCCTGTAGGGGTGGGCACGGGAATGATCAGTATTCAGGAAGATATGGGGGAAGCAGGCCTGTCTCCTTTCCAGAGGGTCCCATAATGCCCCTTGGGGGAGCTTTGGTCTCTACATATCTCACTGTACCAACAGACCCAGGCTGGCCCACAAAGAGCAAGTGTTTGGGTGCTCTAAGGGCTCCTGGGACTCAGCTGGGAAGGGTAGAATTAGAGAGGAGCCTCCCATACCTTCATCTGGCTGGCTGGAGAAATGGCTGCCTCCCACTGAAGGTCACTCAAAACCCCTGAGCTTTTGAAGTTAAAAGGGCCCTTCGTCTGCTGAAAGCTCACCCCACCTCCCACTAACTCCCTGGGAGAAGCACTGGTCTGCCCAAGATCACCGCGCAGCTCACTCAGGAGCAGGATGCAGACCAGCTGGCTCTCAGCCTTTCTTACTCCTGCCGTGAGGATGGGTTCGACCTGCCCACTGAAACTGCACTGGGGCAGGGGAAGGTGGTGGACACGAGAGAGCCTGGAGTTAGCAGGTCTTCCTCCCTGAAGACCCGGGGCCGAGCCTGCTTGACTGGTGCTGCTTGTTTGACCGTGCTACCCGCTGTATTCACCGCTGACCCTCAAGCGGCCAGGCCAGGGCCCTCTCCTTAGCACTGCCTCGTGGCTGCTTTCTTGACATGAGCAGCCACAGGCAGAGTGCACTCATCTTCTCCCCAGAGGGTTTCTTCTCCTGGAGTCCTCATCCTGGCCAACAGCAGTGTCACCTCTCTGAGTACCAAGTTGATCGCTTGAGGTTCAGTCTTCATCCTCAAGCTCCACATGCAATCCAAGGCCAGGGACCAAGCGGCCGTGGATGTCCCAAGGTGTAGCCCCAAGCCCCTTCATGTCTGAGGAACTCCTCCTCACTGCCCAGCCAGCTGGGCCGCTGATGGCTCCTAGCTGCATCCCTCTCCTAGGACTGACTGCCCTTGGCTGAGAAGATGGCCTACTTCTGAGTTCCACTCAAGACATCTGTGACGGGCCATCCAGCCTCAACGCTCCTCCTGGGATCAGCCAAGCACTGCTGCAGCTCAGTGCTCATCTCAGCCCAGCTCCTCCCTGGGCCCACTTCTGCCCCTTTCCTCCCTCACTGGTGTTAATAGGCAGACCCTCCCCAGTGAGCTTCTCCATTCAGATCGAAGAGCCAACAGTCTGCTTCATGGGGAATCTGGCCTGCATGATAGTGGGCTTGGGAAACAGATTCTGGATGGGATTTTGGACTTTTTTTTTTTTTTTGTCTTTTTCCTTTTTATCGGTACCGGGGATCGAACTCACAGCTGCCTGCTTGCAAGGCAGGTGCTTACGCCGCTGAGCTAAATCCCCAGCCCCTGGATGGGATTTTGGAGCTGACCACTGAGTGACAGACCAACACCCAGGGGCAAGTCCCAGTGTCAGTGTGATGGCCCTGGTGCATTCCACTACGACCTGCTGGCGGCAGGCAGGTAAGCACTGCAAGTGGCAGGAGAGACTGTGGCGGGTATAAAATCGTAGTGTGTGAGAGGCAGAGGAGACACAACATCTATCAGTACGGAATTGGGTTCCCACTGCTAAGGGCAGCAGCTGCAGCAGAGAGAGACAGTGAAAACCCAAGGTTAGTAAGTGGCCAAAGAGGGCTGGGGATTTAGTTCAGCAGGGTAAGCACCTCCCTGGCAAGTGAGAGGTCGTGAGTTCAATCTCTAGTACCAAAAAAAGAAAAAATAAGTAGCCAAAGAAAGTAAAGTGGAAAAGCCACAGGGCCTGGGTAGTGGCAAGTGAAGGGGGCCCTCTGCAGTTAGGGACTGAGGAAGTTGAGTATCGGGTTCCTGACTTCCTCAGAATTAATTGTTATGGGTGGGAGAAGTGGGAGTCCCATGTACACAGTCAGAAGTCTCCATCTGGGTGTGGTGGCAGGCATGGGTCACACAGGGAGTTCGGTGCCAGCCTGGACTACGTGGCAAATCCCTGTCAAAAAAAAAAGTCTTCAAGCGCCAGATCCCTGACAGGTTGGTTCTTTCCTGCCTGATAGAAGTTATCGTCCACTCTGTGCTCGAGGACAGGACTCTTCCTAAGGAGACACTGCACCCCTCCACCCCAGGTATCTGGTCCACACTCCCCACCCCACCTCTGCACACACCAGTAATGAAGGTAAATGACGGCATAGCCCGTTGGTGAGGTGCTGGGTGACCTGGCAGAGCCCAGGGAGGGAGGTCCTGGGCAGTGGTGCTGTGGGAGCAGGACGGCAGGCCTGAGGTGACAGCATACCGTAC